TCTAGGATTAAAGTCAGAATTCTGGAAAAAAAAGTCAAAATTCTGAGATTAAAGTCAGAATTCTGAGATTAAAGTCAGAATTCTGAGAAAAAAAATTCAGAATTCTGAGATTAAAGTCAGAATTCTGAGATTAAAGTCAGAATTCTGAGAAAAAAATGTCAGAATTCTGAGATTAAAGTCAGAATTCTGAGATTAAAGTCAGAATTCTGAGAAAAAAATGTCAGAATTCTGAGATTAAATTCAGAATTCTGAGATTAAAGTCAGAATTCTGAGATTTAAGTCAGAATTCTGACTTTTTCCCCCATACTAAACTGAAATAAAATTTAAAAATCAGTTAACTTTTTTTTTTTTTTTTTTTTTCAGTGGCCCTAATCCTCTTCCGTAGAATAAATACTAAAAATGCTAATTAAAATTTATTTTGGATCATATTTCGAGCTCAAATTATAACCAGCAAAATAAATGAACATTAGATAGGTAGTTGTCTCTTACTCCATCATTTCCAGACTTAATAACTTACAACTAACATTAACTGACTCTGTTAAATATAAACTAATTGTCACCAATCAGTTCTAGAAACCTCTTTAAATGAACCCTGGAGAACCACCGAACCAGATTAGCTTCTCACAAGGAGTTTTAATCCGAGTCCATTTTGCTTTTTGCGTCTTCTTCCTTCTTTTTTGATTATTTTTAAAACTGGACATAAATCAAACATTTCTCAGGGGCTCGGCTCAATCCAAATAAAACAAATCGATTAAAACACCATAACCAGGGCAGCTCCCCATCAGATGTCGGGTTGAATAACGAACTTCCTCTTTTACTTCTTCGTCAGTTTAAAAAGTATCGCACTCCTTTCTTCTTCTGTGTTCTGATGGCAGCTGAGATCAATTAGGATCATTACAGTCCAACAAGCGGTGCATCTTTTATTCATCTTTAGGTTAAGAGCATCGCAAAATGCTACCGTAATAGCTCTTTCTGCCAGAGACATGCTCACATGCTTTTTTACCGTAATAACAGTCTGCACGCAAGATTTCCCACCTCCTTCATAAAACGGTGAGATCAGGGACAGGTTTAGACGGGTGGTCTGAAACGGAGACTGTCCCCTGAAATCGGGGACACCTGGTCACCCTGGCTTAGTGATCAGAATAAAATATGAATTCATTTACTTCTTTTCCATCTTGCTGAACATGATGCAGGCAGGAGGATGATCTGATTCAGAAGAAAAACTCTGACAGATGAATAACATCTGAGCGTGAAAATAAAACGAGGACTAAATACCGAAACAGCACTGAAACAAGGAGAGGGAGACAAGATGGCCGCCATGGCGCAGAAAGAACTAACCTCACCTTTTTTTTTTAAAATAAAATCCTCTCAGAGGAAACAGTTTGGGTTATTTTTTTTTACATCCGCTAAGAAGGTTATATTTTCAAGAGAGTTTGTAATTGTAGAGGATAAATTTCAAAGTTTTTAATGACATTTTTAGTCCAAGGATGGATCCGTTACCCTTTAACGATGATCCGGATCACCGTCTGGATCCAGGAATGTTTGAAAGGTTCTGTGAATGCAGGTATTAACTGAAGCTGGAAGTCCCGGTATGATGAGGAAATGAGCTACGAGGTGGAGCTCTGCGCTCTTCTACTTTACTTTTTAGTCATTTTAAAAAGCTCGCCTACATCAGGTCAGACACTCTTCCTGTTGGGTTCGTCTGACCTCCTGACCTTCGTAGGTGTGTTTAATGTCCAGTAGTTGTGACACCCAGGTTGCTGGTTCCTCGGACCCCCCCACTGTAATCAGATGGGCCTGGCTGGATTTCCCCAGCTCTTAGCCAATCAGATCCTTCCTCAGTTACATCACTGTAACTGTCGCTGTGTGAAATTGAAGGTTTAATTCAAAGCTGATCTGAGGTTTAGCCCCTCTCTCCTCCTGCTACAGTATAGTGTCAAAGTTTTGTTTGATTGTTTAATTAATAAATTAAGCTTTTAAACATTTATCATTTGAATGGAGAATGAAAAAGCTATTTGGCTTCAAAGGTATCATATCAGCGATCGGTCGGACTGATGTGGAAATAATCGAATCGGCTTTAAAAAGCCGTATCAGTCGATTTTTAGTTGAAAGTCTGAAGCAGTTGCTTCTTCTCTCACCTTTCATGTTAACAGTAACTTCTCTGTGGTTTCAGTTTGCTGAAATGTCATAAGAGTGAGAGGTTTGAGTGGCGCTGCTGACCTCCTCCTCTCCACGCAGCTACTTCTGCTTTGAGTCGCTCTCAGCTGAAGCCGAGTTTGTTCTGCGCTGTCGCTGTCTGAACCGAGAGCTGCTAGTCATCACAGTCCTGCTGAATCCTCTCTAATTGTTCTTCGTGTCTCTGTGCAGCCCTGAAGAGCCCTGCAGCTTTTCACGAACAGCGGAGGAGTCTGGAGCGAGCCAGGGTGAGTTTTCTGTTTGGATGTCTGCGTGTGTTTTATCAGGGAGGTTTGGGTTTGTTGGAGCGTTTTCCTTTCAGGTGTTCGATTGTTTGCAGGTCTTTGTGTGTCCCTGTTTTTATTGTGCCATTTTCCTTCCTCTGCAGACCGAGGACTACCTGAAGAGGAAGATCCGGAGTCGGCCGGAGCGCTCCGAGCTGGTCAGGATGCACATTCTGGAGGGTGAGGCTGCAGGTCCACATGAGGAGAAAACTCTGGAAAAAAACTTTGAATTCTTAAAAATTAGTTTGAATTTGCATAATTTCTTTTCTACCCTTCGTAACACACTTTTTTTTTTATCAGTTTCAAGCATCTGCTTATTTTTGATGTTTTGGTTTTAAGCTGCATTTGAAATCAAATAAAGGAAGTGGCGCAGAGCCCGAGCTCAATATCTGTAATCTTCAGAAGTCGGCTTCCTTTTGCAATGTTTTTTTTTGTTTTTTTTTAAACAAATCTTCTGCAACTCTAACAGAACCCCTTTGTCATTTCCCTTTCTGCAAGAACAAGCTCTCTGTCTCTCTACACACGATCAATCAGCTGTTTTTTTTTCATATCCCCCTTCCCTCCACAGAGACGTCGGCAGAGCCGTCCCTGCAGGCCAAGCAGCTGAAGCTGAAGCGAGCGCGTCTGGCCGACGACCTTAACGACAAGATCTCTCACAGGCCGGGGCCGATCGAGCTGGTCCACAAGAACATCCTGTCGGTCAGCGTCCCTGTGCAGTCCTCGCTGCTGGGTAAGGTCACACACACAGAAAACAGTCCAGCCTTTAGATGCATCCCTGCTCCAAGACGCTCCAAGCATCCCGGCTCTAAAGACGCCCGGAAACGAGACAATTATTTGGTTCAGGTGTTGGAGAAGGGATGCATCTAAAATCTGGAGCAAAGGTCTAATAGATTTGTTTTTCTTTTAGAATTAGTTTGCTAGTTTTTCATCATACTTTAAAGGGAAACACTGTTTTATTTTTTTTAATTGGCCCCTTAATTTTACGTTATTACATCATGTTCTATCACCCGTATGAGTTTTGTGTCATTTGGAGC